GAAAGCCACCAATGTGCAAAAAGAAAAATAGAGCACAAAGAGAGAAAAAAAAAATGTCTTTTACACATGTTGATTGTTTAATTTCTAAGGATAAGTGATATCATTGATTTATTATTTGAAATCTGAAGAATTGACAGATCATATGTTTTTGGAACTTAGTGGTGATTTTACTACACTTACTAAGTTGTGGCACTTAAAGAATTGATCTTGGTTATATCTGTTGATACCTATAATCTTGTGGAGTCTACATTCTCATTGGGTTTAATTTACAAGATTTATATGGTTGGTTGCTTCCTACTTCTAGGATTTTTCTTCCTTCCGACCCTTGTCAATTTGGGACAAAAAGGGGGAGAGAGTTGTGATACTTATCATTGAAGGGGAGAGAACTATTTGCATTGAGGGGGAGAACTATTGTTCAGTGCATTGACATTCAAGCATTATTAGCTTTGCTATTTTATGCTTGTGTTTATTTTCTTGATTAAGCTTCACAGGTAGTTGTGTTTGAGTTAATGTGCAGATTACATGTTGCTATATGTGTTGAAGTTTCATGAGGTTCAAGAAAATGTCCGCATGTTATTTCCTTTAAGAATCGTTGTAATTTACTTTCCTGCTTGGGTAGATTACTGAATTGTTTTTAGGGTTTTGTCACGAAATTGCCAAAGGGGGAAATTGTGAGATATATTTTGTAATTGGCTAATTTCGATGTCAAAACAAGTCCGATCGAGTTGTAATTTTTCAGTATGAAATTTCAAAGATTAAAGATAGGATGCGGATTTGAAGAAGGTAAAGTGTTCATGGTATATTTTGTTCGTGGTAACAACGCTATAAGAAGTTTTGAGAGGTAGTGAGAACATTTAGGAAGGGTTTTGAAAGGTTCGGAATAAAGTTTTACATTATGTCTATCTTGAACTAGTTCAAGATCTATCGAACAGGTTCAACTACATCAGAATGCTAAAATTTCAAGTCTGACCATCTTGAACTGGTTCAAGAGGGCTGAACCGGTTCAAGAATCCGTGGGATTCCTTACTGTCCATCTTGAACCGGTTCAAGATGGCTAAACCGGTTTAAGAAGTCCTAGATGCATCAGGTTTCCAGTTTCCTTCTTCTGATGTTTCCTTTTTGATCCCAGCTTCCTTCTAAGTCCTATGCATGAAATTAATCATATTTTCTGAGGGATTAAGACTTTCAAAACTCTATATAAACCTTGTCATATACATTGGTTTAGGGGGGCTTCAGGGAAAATCAATTCTATATTTTGAGAAAGCCTTCTAAAGAGAAAAAATTCAGAAAATCAAATCTGATTATTCTGAATTTATTTATGAGAGTATACACATATATTCATGAGTAATTTAGTGGTGTTGTTCTCTATTTCATCGGAATCGGAGCTATACTGAAGATTCAAATATTCCAGATGAGACTCATGATTTAATTCTTCTACAATCGAGTTCAGATCTTGAAGAACAGAAGTAAGCGCTATCACACTTTGAAAGGGTTAGAGCATTCGTGAAGTGCTGTCTGATCTACCTGCTACTCTTCTACAAATATCAAGTGTAAGCCTAAGATCAAGTTGCTGTTGGACGGGGAGTCGCAAAGCTAAAGGATCGTCAGTGGTTGGTGTGGTGTAGAACGATAGGGTGTGAGCCAAAGTCAAAGTTCGGTATACTTTGTTTCAAACATAATGGATTAGTTTACTTTGGACTGCATAGTCCACGAGATTTTTCCCATAGCAGTTGACGTATTTTATCAACTGGGGTTTCCTCGCTAAAAATCCTGGTGCAATATCTCTAAACTTAACTTGCTTTACTTTTTAGTATTTATATTTATGATTGTGGATATTTAATTGATCATGCAATTTAATCATTCATAAATTAAGTAAGTTGACCTAATAATCAGATCTAGGTCATTAAAGGAGTTAATCACAATTAAATCAACTGTTTTCGCACCCCGCGTAACTCTTGTTTTACACTGAGCTGTTCGCCCATTTCTTCTATTTGTAGTGCTGTACATGTTACAGAAGAAAGAAAATTTGTTGTATCCTAAGATACAGATGCTACAAAGTCCATCAACACCATAGCGGAATGAATATGTCCTAAAGACATAGAATTAAATTCTAGCATCGGCCTATTATCAGGTTCATTTTATATATACTTTATTATATTAGTTTATAATTGTATATAATATATAATACTGTGATAACAGTATTATATATATATTATTTTATAACATTAAATTATATATAAATATAAGGTTAAGATCATAAAACCCCTACTATTTTCAGAAAAACTCTTACACATTTAAAAAGTAATCACATTGCCCTAATATCAGTATCCGACTCGTTAACCGGGCTATAAAATGACCAAAATTAACCTTACTATTTAATGTTAAATTAAAAACTAAATTTTTTAAAAAAAAAATACAAAAATACCCTTTAAAATTACAAAAATTATGTTTGAGTAAGAAAGAGGGGGTGAAGAAGAAGATTAAACGGTATTTTTATAATTTTAAGAAATTATTATTATTTTTTAATTTAACATTGAATTGTGAGGTTAAATTTGTCATTTCATAACCCGGTTAATGGGTCGGACATGAATATTGGGCAATGTGATCAATTTTTAAAAGTATATGAGTTTTTTAAAACCTGTTGTGGTTTTATGATCAAAATTTGAAAATAGTGGGATTTTATGATTTTAACCTGCAAATATATTACTCCTTAAGTGCCGATTCTTTTAAATAATGATAATATAGTATATCATACACATATACCTTAAACAACAAATCTAATCCGTTTAATCTCGTTTAACCATTGACAATTAGGCCATTTCCACGTAAATCCAAACAAATGCATTTCCTCCTTAAGTGCTAGTTCTTTTAGTATGATTTTTAAGTGATTAGACTTGCTTAAACATTTATAGTCAGGCAATTAACTTAACTAAGGGGTGTTTGATCGATGTTTTTCATCTTTCTTTGAATATTCGGGGTCTTTTAATTTATTATTTTGCCTAGTGACTAATAATTTGGTTGTATTGGTAAATAGGCTAACATGTGTAATTCATTTAATCAACATGTCAGGTTAGTGTTGAAGGTCCATCACATAATTATTAAACGGATCGTGTTCGGTTAACCTGTATTAGCTTAATGTGCACAACATGATTATGATCTGCAAACACAAATTGCCACTCCTACTCTGCAAACACACTTAGATGGACACGACACAATTATGACCTGCAAATTGCCACCCATGAATAGCTGACATCAAGAAAAACAAAAAGCTAGCTGTTGTTATGGATGTCTTAGCTTGAAATTGCCAGAAATCGAACCTAACCTTCATTGACAAAAAGCTACGTACGTTAAAAAGTATAGTTGCAATCAATTGTGGACCAAACTGAAACTGTTAATAGGCAAATTGCCTGGAAGCATTCGGAGACTAAAAAAAAATTGTGGACCAAACGAATTTAAATGAATTGAGTATAAACGTTAAGTTTAGAAAGGTGAAGTACAAGAAACATCCCGACTTTTAAAAAAAATGTATAAATTCATGTACTTTGAAAAGTTGTACAAATTGCTCACTCGTCGACAATTTTGACCATTTTTCTAATTTTCTTATAGATTGGAAGGATGAGGAAAGGTCAAGTATCAATTTGCGGTGGTCCAAAATTGTGGTACAGACAATGACTCAAGTGGAGTGAATTGAGTCTTCAGAGTTTAGACAAGCTTAGCAACTTTTCGATATAAGCTAACTTAGTGAACGAACATGCTTGGTAACCCAAATTTTAATTTTTTAAAAAATTTTAAAAAAATATGATACGAAAGTAATTCTTAAAATTTTTCTAAGGCACCAACAAGCGACTTACCCACTTAAGCCAAACCCTTGGTTATATCTTTATATTTTTAAGCATTTATATAAATCAACAGAAAATTTGATTTAATTATTCTCCTTTTACTAACTTAATAATAATTTAAAGAAAATTTAGATTTTCAGATGCATAGACAAATAACTTTCTCCTTTTAAATTCAAAGAGAATGAGCTTCGTCTTGATACTAAATTACTGATTCAATGAACAATCATAGCAAGTAAGAAACTTTTTTGTTTTATACAAAACTATACAAAAAAAAATAAATAAAATAAATAAAATAAAATAAAATAAAACTATACAAATATATACTTGGGACATACCCCAAGGCCCAACAAAGAGAGGCCTACTGGCAATGGACAAAAGAAAACCCCAAAAAAACAAAGGCTTATAGCCCAAACAAAAATAGAGACAAAAGGCATATATCTCAAACAAAGTCCAAAGTCCAAACCTAAAATGAAAAGCCCACAAACAGGCCCAGTACTTCAAAAGTTGGAACAAAATGTCATTCCAACCATCTAGCTCGGTTTGGATTGAGGGATTTGGAGGGATGGGAACAAAAAAGAAAGAAAATGATAGTATAGATTATGTTTGGATTGTTTAAAATGAAATAAATGAAAGAATTATAAGAGATAGCTATTCTTCCATATCTCTTTTATCATATCCTAAAAATGAAAAGATTGGGAGAAAAACGATAGTGGGTTAAATACTTTTTTATAATTCCGAAATTGCTATGCCAAATTAAGGTTTTAAATTTGCATAGGACGTAAGGATGTGTTTCTGAAAATTCGTTTGTTCCTCTCTCTCCACACATGATACTCATAACCTGCCAAGGCAAGTTTTCATGTCATAACTCTGCTCCTTTCCAGCTTCTGCTTCCAATTTGAGGACGCCCATACCAGGAAATCCTTCCATGAGTTCGGATTAGTGTAGAAGCCATATTTTTGTTGTATACCATATTCCATATCACCCTTGTATAGGCACACCGGTGAAAGAGGTGTTCAAGGTCATCAGCTAAATTTAGGCATAGGGCACATACATTCCGTTGCATTGTAAAATGCAAAGATGGCAAGTAAGGATATTTGTGTTGTTCTTATATAAATAAGATTTATAAATTTAAGATCAAGAAACACACTCACATGCTCAATCTCACGCAACATTAAAATATTCCACATTATATATATTTATGCAATTCAGTTACATTACATTTAAGTATCCTTTATTTCGTGAAAATTAAAGAGAATACATGATGGAACAAAAAACTACGCACTCTGAACTTTTCAACTTATTTCATAACTTTATTTCATGACCTTTTATTTAGGCTAGCTGTGCATGCGACTTAATGATGCACACACTGCTTATGCTTCAGGTTTAATTATTAAAGAACACACACAGTAACACACATTCAATTATATTTATCAGCAATCTGCTGCAAACTGATGTAAAGCTCGAACGGTTTTGAAATCATGACCATATGATCAGACTCGGCTATGAACTTCACTTCTTCAGGAGGGCTATTCTCAATCATATATTTCTGTAAATCCACTATAACAGATCGATCATCTCCACTCATTATAAAAACCCGAGTGACCGACCCGTAATTATTCTCTGTCAGCAGAGGCTCGCTCAAGTCATTCAAGTAAAACCCAGTTCGCCTAACCAAAGTTTTAGCTAGGTCCTGGTCCTGCAAGCAATACATGAATATGTATCAAGAAAAACAAGAGCTAGCTATTTTTAGGGATTTATTCGCATGAAATTGCTTGTGTTCAATTTACCCAAAAACATTTGCATGAGTTCAATCCTCACCTTTGTTGGGGAGTTATTATAAAGATTAGCTACAAGGTCTTTTGGACCAACGAGTACGGAAACTGGCTGATTATTCGAATCATATTCAACTTCGGAATCCACTAAAGGCGAGGTCGTGTTGATATACTGTTATCCAAAACAAAAGCCATGGAAAATTATATAAAAATAAAAATAAAAAAGGAAAGAAATGTGTTAACATATGCATAGAGATTCAATAATAAACAAAATAGATATAAGATTTGACATGTTTTAACAACTAATCCGCTATAAATTTCGTAAATTAAGTAACAAATGCCCAAAACGATACATTCGAAACTAAATTCCAACTTGGCATGTATTCAAGTCCTTGGCCAACCTCTATTCATGAGCCACTAAAGCAACGTGTAGGCCACATTTTTAAAGTTTTTTTGTATTGTACAAAATGGTATATTTATTTTCTTTAATATGCTTTTTTTTAATAAGATTTAACATTAATTTATTTAATAACATGAAACATGATTATTAATTCTTTTTCCTTTTTTCCCAATCCCTTAATCTTTTCCAGTGTGTTATGTTTTTATTTTTATTTTTTGTAGGGGTGACAAATGGACAAGTTGGGTCAAATTTGGGCTGGGTTAAAGTCGACAGGTTAAACATGAGTCAAGACCCAAATTCAACCCACTCAGAACGGGTTGAAAATGGGCTGGGCAAAACTGTATAGGGTCAACCCGTTGTGACTTGTGGATCCATTAACTAGTTATTTATTTTTAAAAAAAAAATTATATTTAAAAAATGTATAGGGTCAACCCGCTAAAACCTATATTGGCGTTTAAAAAATAAAATTTTCAAAAAAAAAAAAAAAAAAACAAGATCCGTGAAAACCCGCCTGACCCGCCCAAAATGTTGATGTTTAAAAAATAAAATCTTCCTAAAAATTTTGATGTTTACAAACATGGAAAAAGAAAATGTAATTTGTATATTTGGAAAAAAAAAAAAAAAATTTAAAATTCACTTGTGAAACCCAACCAACCTGCACAAAATATTGATATTTAAAAAAATAAATTTTGTTAAAAATTTTGATGTTTAAAAACAAGGGAAAAAAATGTAATCTGCACAATTAGGAAAAAAAAATAAAAATAAAAATTTGACCCGTAAAACCCGACCGACCTGCCCAAAATTTTGATGTTTAAAAAATAAAATTTTCTTAAAAATTTGATGTTTACAAACAAATAAAAGGAAAATGTAATTTGTATATTTGTAAAAAAAAAAAAAAAAAAAAAAAAAAAAAAAAAAAAAGGGACCTTTGAAACACAATCGACCCGCCCAAAATATTGATGTTTTAAAAATAAAATTTTCTTAAAAGTTTTGATGTTTACAAATATGGAAAAAGAAAATATAATTTGCATATTTGAAAAAAACAAAAAAATTGACTAGTAAAACCCGACCGACCCACCTAAAATTTTGATGTTTAGAAACATGAAAAAGGAAAATGTAATTTGTATAAAAAAAAAAAAAAAAAGAAAAAAAAAAAAAAAGGACCTGTGAAACCCGATCGACCCACCCAACATATGGATATTTAAAAAATAAAAATTTCTTTCAAATTTTGATATTTACCGATATGGAAAAGGAAAATGTAATTTGTATATTTGTTAAAAAAAAAAAAAAAAATTACCCATGTAACCTGAACTACCCACCCAAAATATTGATATTTAAAAAATAAATTTTCTTAAAAATTTTGATATTTACAAACATGAAAAAGGAAAATATAATTTGTATATTTGTAAAAAAAGAAAAAGAAAAAGACAACCAATGAAACCCGCATAAGCTGCCCAAAATATGGGTTGGGACTGGGCTGGGTTGGACCCAACTTGCAGCCCTTCTTGAGATCGAGAAACTAGTTGAGTACAATATAGAATAGATGTGTGGTGTGTGTCTATTATGTGATGGTGAAATATGGGTTAAATATGGATAATCATATCTAACCCATCTTGACCCTCAAATTAAATGGTTTAAAAATTATCCAACTTATTTTTTACTCATCTTAAATATGATTCACCTATAATTATTAAAAAGCGAATGAATGTGGGCGAGTTGATAGTTTTTGACCCATTTTATCACCCTTAATTTTTTGTAAACCTATATTTTTCTCCCTTCCTATCATTTATTATTATTATTATTATTATTTAATATCTCCCCTTTTCTAACTCTCTCACACCTCTTCTTCTCTCCTACTATTTTCTCTAGCTTATTTATTTATTTTATTCAATCACACCATCTCCATGGCCCAAGTTTTGAAAGACAGAAAAAATGAGGAGAAAAATTCTTTTAACTTCACAATTTACTTTTAACAAATCTGGTATGAATTTCAATGTAATTATTTTCTTCTGTTAAGATTTTTCTTATTAATATGTTTGATAAAAATGTGAATTTGGATAAAAATAAATAAAAATAAAAATTAAACTTAATAGATACTATTAGAAAACTTCCTTCAAAATTTTATTAGATAGTTTACATCTCTAAAGATAAAAGGAATAATTTTTAAACAAGAATTATTCATATAATTTTATATGAATAAAATAAGTATAAAAAAGAGTTAGTTTTGGCTTAAGTCTCAAATTACATTAGCTGACACGGAAAGAATTAGGCATATATATATATATATATATAGATATTCCTTTCGTAAATCTCAACTCATTAGGAACAATAGGGTACACTTTCCTAAACAAAATACCGACTTTAAAATGAAAAACCAACAAAAATCTAAATTTTGAGATATAATTCTCAATAAATTGCATACATCTTCATGATACAATTATGTTCAGAAATTTTAAGCTAATAGAGATTTTCTTACTTGTTCTACAACGGTAGCTGGTGGAGTAGTATAATTGGGCATTAAGGCAGTGACGTAAACTGCAACGGAGATTTTCTCCGGGAAGTGCTCCATGGCTAGAGAAATGGATAAGCCACCATAACTGTGACCAACTAGGACCACCTTCGTCTCATTAGGCAGGGAGGCCATGAAGTCCGTCAATGGTTGCGCATACTCGAAAAAGGTGGCCACCTCATCTTGCCGCCTTGGGTCCCTCCCGCTTGCGGCCAGGTCCAAGGCTGTAACGTTGTGACCCGCGGCTTTGAGTAGGGTGATAAGCTTGTACCAGCACCATGCTCCAAGGTTAGACCCATGAACTAGAACAAAGTGCTTGCCAGTAGTATTCTCCATTAATTCTTGTTCCATGGGGAGTTCAGACCCTAAGCGAAGAAAGCCATAGGCTCTTGCGCCAATGCGTGACCGAGGCACGCATAGGCATGTTGGGCTGAGCAAGAATGCTGCAACTAGGAAGACAGAGAATTGAATTGAAGCCATAGTCTCAATAAAAAGTGGTGCTTTTTGTTCTTCAGGAACCTATATTTATACACACCATGACAACAAACTACCCTGAGTTCTTAACAAATGAAAGTGGGCACCATGGTAGGTCCTGAAATTAATTGAGTACCTTAAATTTGGAGAAGATGAATGCACAATACCATATCTCTCGATTAGTTGTTTCACCTTTTTATTTATACATATCGTGTTATTATCCTAACTATATTTATGGACTGCCATATATATCAGAATATGGATTTGATTTTGTTGATTTTTAATTGAATTCAGAAATTCATTTGTTATAATTTCATTTGGTCATCAGATCTCCAAGAAACACACACCACTGGTGTTGAAAATGCAAAGAAGGTGAGGGGTTGGAAAATTAATAGATAGAAGAAAGTAACTGCACTGTTTATATTTGTAATTTACTGATAAAAGCAAACATTTACATAAAAGCTGTTTCTATGATATATGATCATCTCCAAACTTAAAAAATAGTACAACCTATTGTTGCTTGTAATCCTTGCTTGTCGCCGGTAAGAACACGCCATCATCGTTGCTTTTGACTCAGTCCATCATAAACTTTCAAGTAAAGGCAAAGGAAGTTTTGACTGAAAGAGTAGACAATCACAAAGAGATATGAAGAGAGAGAGAAAAGGTAGTTGGGGTTTTTCGCAATAAGTTTCCATGTTCACCTTAGCCTTCCATAAAACTTTATTTATTTAAAAAATAAAAGTTTGACTCCATCTTTTGGGCCTTTGACCTACAAAATTCCATTTTTATGAAATTAAACCCTATATTTATACACACCATGACAACAAACTACCCAGAGTTCTTAACAAATGAGAGTGGGCTCCATGGTAGGTCCTGAAATTAATTGAGTACCTTGAATGTTGTTGCTTTTTTTTTTTTGGGTGGTGGGCTTGAACTTGAGTTATTGTGAATCGACTGAAATTAGATCAAAATTTGAGATAGTTACCAACTAATTGATTCTGGGTTGCTATACTTATGAAATTCTTGTATAAAGAAGTTTAAGTTATAATTATGAAGATGTTATGCAAATTAAGTATGTATTTGAATTTTTAAAGCCTTTATAATAATGCACTCTTGTCTCAAAAAAAATGTTTTAACTTTTCGTTTTTGATTGTCCCAAAAGAACTGTCCCAATTCATAATTTAATGTACCATGTAGTAAAATCAATTAAAGTTTGAAATAAATCTCAATGTGAACCCACCAAAAAATGATATATTTAAAATTTTATTTACAACCAGTCTACCACTATAATAAATAATATAAAAATTTATTCTGAAAAAGTTAAATTCTATAAACTAAACACTTTTTATAGGACGGATGAAGAGTAATACTGAAGCCACCTAAAGTTATTTACTATTCTATTCGTCTCAAATTAAATATTTATTTTTTAAAAAAAATTAATTTTTTAAGAGAATGAATTTTAATATATATATTTTATAATATGGGTAGGAATGAATTAATTTTTTAAGAGAATGAATTTTAATATATATTTTTATAATATTGGTAGTAATGAATGAACAAATATGTCATAGTGGGTTCATGTGATAATTTACCTTTTAGATGAGATATTTATCTTTATAGAAAATAAACAAGTAGACATTAAATTTAGGACCAAGGAGTATGATTTTTGTATAATGTAGCACAAGACGTACTGTCTCTTTCCTATGTCATCTAAAAATATTTCGTATTTTGGGCGTAGTCGCATATAACTCAAGTCAACAAAAACTCACTATTTTCATAATAATACTAAAATTAAATTATTGTGTACTATAATGTACAGTACACAATAATTTCTCTCAATCAATGTGTGCGGGTGGCAGCGGCTGCAACTCACAGGCCCTCATTCATCCCCTCTCTCTCTCCCTCGCTCCCTCCCTACTCTTTCTTTGGTCTTTCTTTCGTCATTGCCGGTGGCATTAATTCACTCTCCAGCTATGTAGATGTCAGGTTCCCTTGGTAGGACCCAAAAACTTATATGGTAGAGGATAATAGTGAAATTTTATATTAATTTCAATGGAGTAATAGTGCAATTTGATAGATATATAGTTCCAAAAAAAAAAAAATTGTTAATACCAAAAGTAAATTATTGTGTACTATAATGTACAGTACACAATAATTTATCTCAATCAATGTGTGTGGGTGGTAGCGGCTGCAACTCACATGCCCTCATTCATCCCCTCTCTCTCTCTCCCTACTTTTTAGGGCTCAAATCCCCTGCTGTGAGTTACCGTGCAGTTTCCTGCTGTGAGCTGATGAAAGGCCTTAGTTTGGCCACGTGTGCTTCAGTTTATAATATGTCTGTGAACTCCACTAAAATGGTGCAAAACGCATTATTCCGTTAAATCTGCCTTCCGTTAAACATCCATCTCTCGGCATCTCTGAAAAAGCCTAAAAGAGCCAGCTCTACAAATTAATTGAGCCGTCTCCAAAAAATTCTGAAAAAGCCTAAAAGAGCCAACTCTACAAATTAATTGAGCCGTCTCCAAAAAATTGGGTTGAACCGTCTCCACATTTCTTCTTGAGCCGGCTGTTCATTGTTTTATTTTTCTTTTTTTTTTTGCTTGCCAAGGAGCCGGCTCTAAAAATTCTGATCACAGGAATTCTGATCACCTTCACCATCAAAATAAGCTATTGATACAGTTCTGTAAAACTAATTTCACACCTCTGTAAAACTAATTTGACACCTAAATTTAACATTTTTTAATTCTTTCGTTTGTCATCTGTTAGTGTAAATTATGATATTTTTCTACTTGAAATTGACATTGGTTAAGCATTCTAGCATATTTGAAATGTTGGATAATTGTAGGATTTTTTTCTATAATCTTCAATAATCATTCTAGTGAATGTAAAATCTTACATAATTGTTTTTTTTAACTGAGTTGGCTTCATTAGGTACCAATTTGTTATCCAAATATTTTTTCTTTTCATGTATGCGGCAATTACACATTTCACAGGTTATTATGTGACATTTATGAGAAAAAATACATTGTGAAGTTTAATAAGTAGGGACATTGATTACCTTAACCATCAAAATAAGCTATTTACACAGTTCTACTAAACTAATTTCACACCTCTGCAAAACTAATATCACACCTAAATTTAACATTTTTTAATTCTTTCATTTGTTATCCGTTACTGTAAATTATGATTTTTTTTTACTTGAAATTGACATTAGTTAAGCATTCTAGTGTATTTGAAATCTAGCGTAATTGTAAGATTTTCTTTAATAATCTTCAATAACCATTCTAGTGAATGTAAAATCTTCCATAATTGTTTTTTTTTTTTTTAACTGAGTTGGCTTCATTATGTACCAATGTGTTATCCAAATATTTTGTCTTCTCATGTATGCGGCAATTACACATTTCACAAGTTATTATGTCACATTTCTGAGAAAAAATACATTGTGAAGTTTAATAAGTAGGGACACTGATCACCTTCACCATCAAAATAAGTTATTCACACAGTTCTACAAAACTAATTTCATACCTCTGCAAAACTAATTTCACACCTAAATTTAACATTTTTTAATTCTTTCATTTGTCATCTGTTAGTGTAAATTATAATATTTATTTACTTGAAATTGACATTGGTTAAACATTATAGTGTATTTGAAATATTGGATAATTGTGGGATTTTCTTCTATAATCTTCAATAACCATTCTAGTGAATGTAAAATCTTCCATAATTATTTTTTTTTTAACTGAGTTGGCTTCATTAGGTACCAATGTGTTATCCAAATATTTTGTCTTCTCATGTATGCGCCAATTACGCATTTCACAGGTTATTATGTGATATTTATGAGGAAAAAAATATTGTGAAGTTTAATAAGTAAGGACACTGATCACCTTCACCATCAAAATAAGCTATTCACACAGTTCTGTAAAACTAATTTCACATCTTTGCAAAACTAATTTCACACCTAAATTTAACATTTTTTAATTCTTTCATTTGTCATCTGTTAGTGTAAATTATGATTTTTTTTTTTTTTTTACTTGAAATTGACATTGGTTAAGCATTCTAGCGTATTTAAAATCTTCGATAATTGTAGGATTTTCTTTTATAATCTTCAATAACCATTCTAGTGAATGTAAAATCTTGCATAATTGTTTTTTTTTAACTGAGTTGGTTTCATTAGGTACCAATGTGTTATCCAAATATTTTGTCTTCTCATGTATGCGGCAATTACACATTTCACAGGTTATTATGTCACATTTCTGAGAAAAAATACATTGTGAAGTTTAACAAGTAGGGACACTGATCACCTTCACCATCAAAATAAACTATTTACACAGCTCTGCAAAACTAATTTCACACCTAAATTTAACATTTTTTAATTCTTTCATTTGTTATCTGTTAGTGTAAATTATGAATTTTTTTTTCTTCAAATTGACATTAGTTAAGCATTCTAGCGTATTTGAAATCTTGGTTAATTGTAGGATTTTCTTCTATAATCTTCAATAACCATTCTAGTGAATGTAAAATCTTCCATAATTGTTTTTTTTTTAACTGAGTTGGCTTCATTAGATACCAATGTGTTATCCAAATATTTTGTCTTCTCATGTATGCGGCAATTACACATTTCACAGGTTATTATGTCACATTTATGAGAAAAAATACATTGTGAAGTTTAATAAGTAGGGACACTGATCACCTTCACCATCAAAATAAGCTATTCACACAATTCTGTAAAACTAATTTCACACATCTGCAAAACTAATTTCACACCTAAATTTAACTTTTTTTAATTCTTTCATTTGTCATCCGTTAGTGTAAATTATGATTCTTTTTACTTGAAATTGGCATTGGTTAAGCATTCCAGCGTATTTGAAATCTTGGATAATTATAGGATTTTCTTCTATAATCTTCAATAACCATTCTAGTGAATGTAAAATATTCCATAATTGTTTTTTTTTTTAACTGAGTTGGCTTCATTAGATACCAATGTGTTATCCAAATATTTTGTCTTCTCATGTATGCGGCAATTACACATTTCACATGTTATTATGTCACATCTATGAGAAAAAATACATTTTGAAGTTTAATAAGTAGGGACACTGATCACCTTCACCATCAAAATAAGCTATTCACACAGTTCTGTAAAACTAATTTCACACCTCTGCAAAACTAATTTCACACCTAAATTTAACATTTTTTAATTCTTTCATTTGT